GAACACTGAGCTCCGGGTGGCAGAGGTCGAGTTACTTGTCAAGTTACGTATAAATGAAAACAGCTTCGGACTGCCAGCCGAAGCATAATGAAGATTGACTAGACTGTGATGGTCCGTATTTTGTTACAAATTATTAACCTCAATGGTACGTGTTTGTCATAAAATAGCATGGATGAACGAAGTTTACATACTAAATTTAGGTCAAATTTTGGTTTGAGAAAGGTCAATCAAAAAACCCAACACCGCAAACATTTTCATTTCACCGAATACCGCAGCATGAAAAACACAAACATCGCACACCGTAGGGTTTGAGATCACCGCAACACCGCAAGTTGAGATTTTATTCACCGCAAAAAAACGTCAACACCGCAACACCGCAAACCCCCATGTCCCCCTCTTCCTTGCGTGATTTATATGAAAATATCTTTCTATGTGTGGAATTTAATAAGGATTAAGACAATCAAAAAGTTGTTTGCAGAGCTTTGCTTGTTTTAATTTTTTGTCGTAAAACGTCGATCCAGGACAGGTTTGTTCAGCGTACTAATTTATTGTAATTTATAGCGGAGCAAGCGAAGCCCCATAAATATAGGGAAAGAACCACGTGCACACAGACATAGAAAACCATGCAACTTTTTTTGCATGGTCAACATGACCAGCGGCGTGTATCGCGGGTACGTGCGCCTAACGACGAAAAACGACGTCACGCAACATGGCGGCTATACTCCAGCTAATGAGTTGACCGAGGCATGCAGCCATATACAGCGTACATATTTGATATTGGACATCCATGTTACGGTCAATTGACACCTGTTAAATCAAAGTATGCGCTGACCAGTATCACGTGACCATACCGCAGGCTCGGGTTTAGAGCTTATCGAAGTCATGTGTCTTTTTGAAGTTGGCCGCTGATCAAATGTTGGTTTTTCATTGGATCGTGGGCTCATGTAAGGTTGGGTTGTTCGGAAACCGGTTAACGACAACCCAAAATTAAAAGTTAACCGAAGTATAAATTTTTCTTTTTGATAATGGGTATTATCGTTTGTCACACGATGTAGTCACTTGAGATGTAGATCGCGACGTTTCGACTGCTTACTGCTAG